ATCAGACGTTTCGTGCACAATAAAAGGTAAATCGGACGAAGTTATATATGCGAGCTATATCCAAATCTGAACCGATCTCGATAAAATTTAGCAAATGTATTTCTGAGCTGTATCTAATATATTTCCCCAAAATTTTGTTGTTACAGAGTGCATATTACGGCTGCGGGGGGACAAAAATAACAAATCGGATGAACAATATATATGGGTGCTATACCTATATCTGAACCGATTTCGATCAAATTTGGCATACTTATTTTCAGGCCTAATTTGGTTGTATGTGCAAAATTCCATACTATTCGGGCTGATATTACACGTTTGGTGGCTAATTAAAGGCAAATCGGACGGAGATATATATGGGAGCTATATCTAAATTTTGACCGATTATCTCCAATTTCAATAGGGTTCGTCCTTGGGCCAAACAAATGATTTGTACAAAATTTCATCTGGATAGGGCAATAAATGCGAACTGTACGTTGTTTACAAAAATACATGGACAGACGGACAGACGGACGGACGGACAGACGGACGGACGGACATGCATAAATCGACTCAGAATGTGATTCTATGCAGATCATCAAAAGGAACTATGGGTCTATCTCGTTTCCTTTTGCCTGTTACAAACAAATGCACAAAGACATAATACCCTTACCACTATGTGGTGTAGGGTATAAAAAACACATTGATACCCGATGTCAGCGGCTTTTTTGATCCGTGTTTGTAGCCCTGATGTCCCTTGAAGAAATTGTTTTAAAAAATCCACATTTTTTTTTGAAAGGACAAAAAATTCACGTTTATGGTTCTGATGCGCATTAAAAAATATTTAAAAAAGTCAAATAATTTTTCTCAGATGTTCCCTAAATGATACTTGGAAAATAATTAAAAACTCCAGCTCAAATTGTTTTTAATTATACCCTACAACACTATGTGTTGGGGGTATTATAAGTTTGATTGGGCCAGAATTTATGTAACACCTCGAAATATTGGTTTCCCATATAGGAAAGTATATATGGATCTTCCTAGCTCGCCGAGCTGAGTCGATCTAGCTATGTATGTCCGTCCGTCCGTCTGTCCGTCTGTCCATGTTAATTTGTAATCACTCTACAGGTCGCAATTATGGTCCGATCTTCACGAAATTTTGCACGAAGGTGGGGTTAGGGACAGAATAGAAGCCTATTTCTTTTGAAGATGATCGCCAAATGTTTAGGGGTTGAAATGGACCAAATACTGAAAAAATGTCGGATTTTGCAGTAGCTATACAGGTCGCAATTATAGACCAATCGACGCGGAATTTCGCATGTAGCTAGAGTTTAGGGCGGGGAAAAAGCCTACCAATTTGGGTGGTCATCGGATAATATTTAGCGGGTAAAATAGACCATATCTTTTGTGTTGAAAAAAATCAAAATTTTTCATTAAACCGCGAATATTTTAAATCCCGGCGAAATAACAAAGCCATGACAAGGTTATTTCTGATCTCTACATTGATGTTAACATCCAACAAAACGGATATATAGCAAAATATGTGCGATATATATGTTTATCAAAGAAGATATGCTTGAAAAATCTCTTATATGTCGAGAACGGCTGAACTGATTTCGACAGTTCTCATTAATTCAGAATGGCCTCTTAGCAGGAAAGAAAAAACGTCTAAAAAAATCGCATAAAAATATCTCTCTAAAGATGAAAATATTGATTTTGTAAAATGTTCTCATATTTTTTCAATTTTGTCATATTTTTGGCATATTTTCATTTTGAATTAAACATTTGGTAATATTTCTACAGCTAACAAAACTAAGTAGTTAGGATTTCAGTATATCATATATAGATCGCATTTATGGCCCGATCCTTACGAAATTTCGCATGGAGATAAGATAAGGGTCAGAATAGAAGCCTACTCTTTTTGGAGATGATCGCAATATATCTAGGGGTTGAAATGGACCAAAAAACTGCAAAATTGTCATCAGGTCGTAATTATCGCCCGATCCTCACGCACATTTTAATTGGGGTTACCGGACATTGCAAAAGCCAAGCAGTTTTGGATGGCCATCCAAAAATATTCAATGTGTGAAATAGTTTGCCAACTTTTATAGACAAAATACGAAAATGTCCATTCCAGTGACTTTTTCGTGGAAGAATATAGTCAAATGTCTGTATCTCATATAGATGCGTTTCAGTCAAAAACCAATAATAAATGTTAATCTTTTGCCACTTCTGAGAGACTATAGGTCTTTGGGAAATATTGGTTCCAGATTTAGGAAGACCATTTACGTGCAACATCTACCAATAAAATGGAAATGAGCAACTTAGCTTAAGTTGTTATTATTCGAAAATTAGAGAACGAAACCTGATGGTATATATATATATATATATATATATATAATTTGTCACAATATCTTGTGGAATTCTTTCGTGTATCTCGCCTATATAAACAGTATCGTTTATTATAGTGTTGTAGGGTATTCAACGGTCGGCCCCGCTCGACTGTAGCCTCTGCTTACTTGTTTTTCCTTTTTCTTGATATCAAAACAAATTCTTAAAAATGCACATAAATCATTCTGAAAATTTTAAATAAATCATCCAATAATATAATAATAATTAAGGAAAAATCTCAGTTTATAATCGTTTTGCTCCAAACGCGCAAATTGTTTCTGAAACATGCGTCTCACAATAATAATTATTGGATTACACAAAAACCCAATTGCTAATATAGACATTTTGCCATTTGCCACTATTTTGTTTCAACTCCATTAAAATCGCCTTTTGTTTCAACTCCATAAACCTCATTCATGCAACGCTTAAATGTTACTGGCCATACGTGACCAATTTAAAAAAGAACAACCTTTAACTTTATGGGCCATCCATGTAAAAAGGCCGTTTGTCCACATTGAAAATAAAAAGAAGAAGAAGAAAAAAATGAAACGCCAAAGATTTATCTCCTCAAACAATTGTTGGGGTAATGAAAAACAGAAAAATGAAGACAACTTCGAAAACAGCAGCCTCGATGTCTGCAGTAACTGGCTAAACTGACTTTAAAGTACATAACTTTTTTTGGTTGAATAGTTGTTAATGGCGGGAGAACTATTGTTGCTATAATTTGGTCATTGGTTTTGGCGCATCACCATTAATTTTTGTTTTGTTGTTATTGCTGTTGGTGTTTCTAGTGTCCATTTGACTCACATCAAATTTGTTTGAGATACGGTATAGCCATTTGATGGCAGTGAAGGTGTTAGCATCCATACGCCTGTCTACATGCCGGCCTGGCTGGCTGGCTGGCAGGCTGGCTGATGGTCTTAACACCAAAGCCATTAGACAAAAAGAAATAAAGAGACCAAAGCAACAAACACCACACCAACGACACCCGTAACGAAGGTAGACAAATTGTTGGTATTTTTATGGGTCTTTTGAATTGCTGCCACACAAACATATTAAAGTCACTTCACGAAAAACACAAACAGCAATTGCCAAGTTAAGATGTTTTCATTAACCCTTTCAGTGTCAACGAAAATTTTTGTTGAGATAAAAATGTGAAATTTCGTACTTATGTTCATTTGATAGCCCATAATTTAGAAAAAATATTAATTTCGAATTTGTCTGTCACTCAAGTTCGATACCAAATGTCGAATATATTCGACATCGGCATTCAGAGACCTCTATTGCTCTTGCGTTTCACTTTGTATAATAATATTATTTATCATGCAATAGTATGCATTTTAATCTTTATAAAATGTTATAAAACATTTTACAGAAATTAAATCAAAAACATTATTCATTTTTTAAAGAACTAAGACGAATTAGTGGTTTAGATATAAATTAAACAGATTAATCACTTTTTCAAGAAATAAAAATATATTTGTGATTTTAATTTTTTATGACAAAGCACTTACAGAACTCCACCATAACAACCTATTTTTGGCAAAATGTTTGAAAGACAACTTTCCCTTGCTATTTGAATAAATAGTTGTATAATGGTCTGCATTCGAAAAGAGCTGAACGGTTATATAAATTTACTGAAATATGAGAACAGCGTCGTAATTCCAAATATGTTTGTGTTTTCAGAACCTGGCACAAAAGGAATGCCTTTAGATCTTCTGGCTTTCGAACTGCAAGTTTTTTTTACATTTGAGCGTATACGTATGGCGATTTTCATCAACACTTTCTTCTGATATTGCATCCTTAGACAAAATGTCCTGTGCTCACACTTGTGACACGTCAAAACAAACATTGTCATCATCTTCGATTACATCCCCAACATACGAATGTACTTCAAGTATCTTCATGATATCATCATCTTTTAATGATCCAATTTTCTGGGGAAAATGAAGAAAAAAATACTTGAGTTTGCCAGTACATGCGTATTTACTGTAAAAAATAAACCACCTTTGGAGGCCAATGTCGATTATATTCGACAACCCAAAAATGTTTCCAAAAGGCACCACACAATGTTTGTATTTTTCTTTTTTTTATTATATGGTGTTTTTACACTTGTTACAATGTTGACAAATTTTTTCAATATTTTCCGATTACAGCAAATCTGATTTTTGGTTCAGAAATATATTGTTTTCACAAATCCCATACTAATTTACGAAAATGCGCTCAGAAATTCGAAAACTAAACTTACAGAGTAGAGCTGCAATATTTTTAAATAGCACACGAGTCTGTCATTTAAAAGAACAAAACACATCAAAAATAACGGTACATGGGAAGATCAAAAAATCGCAAATAAAGAGAGTACTTTAAAATGTCAAATATATTTGACAAAAACACCGAAAGGGTTAAAGTGTATCTCGCGGTATGTAGGTGAATATGTGTTGGAGTATTTCTATGTGACTCTCTCTCTGTGTGTGTTTGTGAATTTGTTTTTCTATCTTCTGTCTACAACAAATTCGTTTTTCATCTTCTATAATTTTTTGTATGGCACTTTGATGGAATTGCTATTGTTGCTGTGGTTGTTGTCGTTAGTCTCGTCTGCTTTATGCTGCCGCTCTCTGCCGTAGCAAAGCTGATATATAAGCAAAGGTTTTTAGCAAACCAACAAACAGTTTATCAAAGTTTAATCTAGCAAAATGTTCAAACTTGTGAGTAAAGCGAAAATTTTTGAAAAAAAAAAAAAAATAACCGAACAAATAATTAAGAACTGTTAATATTAAATAACAAATTAGGCATTACACAAAAAGGACAAAACAGCAACAATATAAGAGACTAAAAGTGTGATTTTTGTGCTAATGTGTGTGTGTGCTCTCTCTATAAATCGAAGAGCAATTTTGTTGTGCAAATAAAAGAGTAGTGCAATCAACTTATTCATTCAAGTCCATCTGATTTTTCTCATGGGAATTAATTGATGCAGTTTGTTGCTTAAGTCTTTCGTTTCTCTTTGTATGGGAGTATCAACTTTGACATTTCCAGGCCTGTTTCGAATTTTCCACATTGTGATTTAATGGAATAAGTGGTCACAATTTGAAACTTGTTATCCTTGTGTGGGGAATTTGCCCCTTGAGTGTTTCGTGTTTGTGTCTTAAGTCTTTTGTTTTTGCTTAAGAAAATAATTAATTTAAAATAGAAAAGGATACGATTGAATACTTTACTGCTTAATGGCAATTACGACAACCCAGAATTGTGAAAAACCGATGTTTTGTTTTAACCATTTTTATCATTGTGATCTATTTTCTTCTTTGAAAAAAGGTGTTTAACAATTTTCCAACCTTTAAACCTTCCGTAGGGACTTAAAGGGACTGAATAATTGTTAAAAAAAAACGAGGTAAAGGGTTTTTCGAATTCCTTCAACCTGTCAAATTATCAATCAATCATATCAATGAAAAACTTTTTTATTCTATTTTTGAAGCAGTCTGCTAATGTTTAGACTTTATTACATATCCCAAAAAATTAAAACATTTCCAAAACATATTTAAACTTTATAGAATTCTTCATAACCTAGAGTAAAGGAAGATCTCTTCAAGGATTTATAAGCATCGAAAAAATAAGTGATCATACTTCCTCAAAAAAGAATACCAATTAAATAATCTATAGAACATATACTTGCTACAACTTCTATAATTGGAAACTCTACACTTTACCTATAAATCGCTACACATGTTACATATCCCAAGAAATTGTTACATATCCCAAAAATTATTACATTCCCAAAACATTTATAAACTCTATAGACATCCTCTTTACATAAAAGGAAATGAAGATCTCTTCAAGGATTTATAAGCATCGAAAGACTTATAGGTCAAAAATTATTACATTCCCAAAACATTTATAAACCCTATAGACATCTTCTTTACATAAAAGGAAATGAAGACCTCTTCAAGGATTTATAAGCATCGAAAGACTTATAGGTCATACATTCACAGAAGAGGCTCAAAAAGTCAACAAAAAAGAGAGTTCGTGTTCCATAAATATAGTACACCTTCGACGTCTTCCAAAAACAGAATAACCTATATCCTCCCTTTCTACAGAGAAAATCATGTTAATAAATTCTACACATGGAAAAGCCCCAAGAAATCTACTATATAGATTATATCAACGAGAGGTCTTAAAAAAAACTCTAGAGGGTAATTTCAGAGGTTTCCTATAGATACTTCTTCGGTTATAATGTACATGGAAAGCGTGTTTTTATTATCACTATTTCTCAATACTTATTTTGATATTACAACGAGTTTTTTTCTGTTTATCGTTAATGGAAACAAGGTTCTTTTCATTTCTTGACCATGTAAACAGGGTCGTTCTGGATTTCGGTTCATAATGTATATTGCTAAAATAGAAAATATATTAGAATCTTCTTTATAATAATTATTTTATCGTAGAGATATTTTAATAAAAAAATGATGATCTTCCGAATGAGGATTTGCCAACTTTGCTCATAAAAATTTGGAAAACTGCAAAAAGAGAATCTCTAGATGTTTCATTAGGAAATATATAAATTTTCTTATAAAAATCTATTGATATTATAAATGAAAGAAATCAGTTCTTGTTTAAAAAGATTTATTGATATTTAGTTATTTTAAAAAACATCAGTAAATCTTTTTTTTTTTTAATTGAGCAGAGTAGAGTTGTTCCAAAATAATCTTTCAAACTTCTCCGAGAAACTAAGTATAGCTTCTCAAAAAATATGTAGATCTAATCAAAGAATATATGTGAATTTGTTCATAGTGGATTTCTACACCTTCTGAAAACAGATATATCCTCAAGAAAAGATTTCTTTTGATACCTTTCTTTTGAAAATGATCAGTTAGGGTTCTTATTTTTAGTCGTTAATGTAAACAAGATTTTTTGTTTTCTTTATGTACACAGGTTTTTGCTTAGAATTTTTCATTGCAATTGAATTTTTGTTTATATGCCGCTTCAATCCAGAATAACAAATAATAATACCTGTAATAACAAAGAAAATATATTAAACTTTGCTTCAAAATATTTGAAAAAATAAGAGTTCTCTCAAAGTAAATCACCAGGGACTGGATTCCTGTTCCATGAAAAAACAATAAAAAACACATTTCTTTTCTTCACTTTTTCGTTTCCTTTCTCATGTTCATTTCTTTAACTTCACATTTTCATAAAACAGGAATTGAGGATCAGGCGTAGATATCTTAGCATAGAGATCTTAAGATATTTTCTTAAATATTAAGATCTTACTTTGCTAGACACGAAAATCAAGATCTTTAAATATCTCAACCTTTAATCCTCGAATAACAAATAATAATTCGAAAGGCTTGTTACAGAAGATTTTGTTATTCAAAAATCTTATTCCACTATTTACTACTATTTACAAAAAAATTGTAAAGTTATGTATTTTTTATTAGGATTTATATTTTATGTCTATTGTTGTATTTTTTTTTTTTCAATGGACCTTTGTTTTCCTTTTGCCATTCACTGAAAATATCTTTGCTTTCCACATACAACATTGCAATAGTCGTGTCCTAGGTTTTTTCATATTCTTTTTCTCTTCAGCTTAACATATGTCTTCGTATATGATTATATAACTCTATGTTGTAACCGTGTCGTTTTTTTCCTGACCCATTGAATACACTTTTTTAAGTCTGCAATGCTATTTAGCTCTCAGTGTGCAAAGTTCATTACATTCGCAGTCGAACAAGTGATTAGAAATCTTAACATTTCTGTAAATATTTCATTGATGATCGTTTGGATATTGACACCAAAATAGCTGATGGTTATTATTAATGTAACCACATAATTTAATTGACTGTTAGTATGTTGGTTTTTCATTAATAATTAAATAGTTATGTAAATATTATTGGAATTCCATCGAAAAAAAAAATAAAGCAATTAAATGTTTCTTCTTCTTTTGTACAATGAATTATAAAAACAATTGTTTCTATCTATTTAACTTGTTCCACAAAAACAATACTTGTGTGTGACTTATTTTTTCAGCAGAAATTAAGTTCGAAGAGCATCTTTTTTATCTTTTGTGCCACATTCCAACCGATGCCTTTAGCAAATACCTTTCAAAAATTGGCAATACTTTTAATTGTTTTGCAATTTAAATTTTCCCATCGATATGAACAAAAAAGCTAGCTAAAAACAAAAGCGTGAAATGTCAACTGGCGCATAATATAATGAAGTGGGACGAATTGAATTGCCATAAACAAATGATTAGTTAAATAAAAAAAAACTTAAATAGTTCATATATTATTTGATGTCATATTTTTTTTTAATATACAAAAATAAAGAGGAAAACAATATTTTTTTAATTTTTTTTTCGACCCAAATTATTATACATTGTCTTGTTTCTATTCATTCAACCATCTGGTTATGAATTTATAGCTCAGCATGCATTTATACCTTTCAAAAAATGGTTATGCATATTAATTCACATAACGAAAATGTTAAGTTTTTCAGCTCACAAAAATATATATTAATTCGAACATATCTATATATATATATTGTTCTGTAAACATCACTAGACAACCAAAAATATGAAACCTTCAAATATATTTAGTCTCTTTTAAGAAACAAGTTTTTTTTTTTTCATTCGAGAACATAAAAGTCTGTTTTATGCTTAGTTAATATATTGAAACGTTTTTTTAAATAATATAAACTATTCGAAAATATGGATCTGAAATATAAAAGCTAAAATGTCAACCTGAAAAATTCCGATATGTATATTTCCAGCTGAGTTTTATATTCAGAAAAAATATATAAAAATTAAATGAGGTTCCATTGTAGAATTAAAAAGGTATCCCCATTTTAAATAAACAAATCGAGCTGTGCATCTTCTGTAACTTACTTTATCAAATTTAACTGTATTTCTTTTTTACAATAAATTAGATATTGCCAATTGGTGTAACTTTGAAAAAAGTGTGAGTCTTAGGAAAAATTTTACAACCAAGAAGAAACATCTGAAAATATTATAAAATAGACTATCCCTAGTTAAAAAAATGTAAACGTGAAAAGAATTTCACCTTTATAAAAAGATAATAAAATATAAAAAAAAAGATAATAAAAACTCTATTTGGGTTGTCATGCTTTTATGCCTTCCTGGCTAAAGCTCTCTTCGCTAATTGTCCTGTCATTTTTTCAATTTAATTTCGTTAATGTAAACAAGATTTTTCACCTAATTTTTCTTGTAATTCTTTAAATTTAATTTCGTTAATGTAAATAATTTTTTTTTACTTTTTTATATGCATAAACAATATTGATCGGGATTAGTATCATTGCATTTGCAGATCTGATGAATATTTTAAATTTGCTTAAGTTGCGAACATTTAGTTTATCGTTAATGGAAACAAGATTTTTTTTAATTTTGACATTACATCTGGGTTTTAAAATTTGCAGGAACACCTTGTAATTGTGCCACAAAACGCTTTTTTTGACTGGCTTCATCGGTTGTCTTCCACTGCCTTTACACGGTGACATTTTTTAACCATGCCATTTTTTTGTTGGTAAAAGGTGTAGAAAGACAAGGATAGAAGAAAAAATGGCACGATAAGCCACCGCACAGGGTTACATGCAATTTTCTGTGCATTTCACTTTTTACTTCTTCCGAATTTTTTATAATTTTGACATTTCATATCGTTTCTTTATTGTAATTTTTGTTGCGTTTCTTTTATTGTGATGTGTTTAGTGTTTGAATTGTATAGTGAATTATATAAAAATTAATTGGAAGTTTTAAAAAGTAAAAAAAAAGAAAGTTAAAATAAAAGTCAATAATTTTAATAAATATGCAGACCAGATCGACAATAACTTTTTCCATCATTTCTTATTTAGATTCACACATTTAATTTTAAATCACTTCTTTATAAATATCTGTTACAAACAATTAGCACAACAATACAGCTCTATACGAAATACTGAATAAAATAAAATGTCAGAAAAAATGCCAAGCACTAATATCATAAAATGCCACCGTGTAAAGGCGCGAAGATTTACGCAGAAATTTTAAAAGAGAATTGATAAAAATGCCATGTAAAAATGCCACCGTGTAAAGGCAGTGTTCCTCATAAAAGATTAAAAGAGTGCAGGGCTAACAAGTATAGATTACGAGTCGAAATTGAACTAAGTTAACCTACAACTCCTTTGGAGAAGCCAGAAGAAGGTTCTCTATGTATCTGTACCCTTACCATGGTCGAAGAATATAGGTAGACGCGTCGACACAGTTGCTGGGACAATGAACTGTCAAACCAATTTTGGAATTTAAAATGTTGAATGAAAAATTATTTAAATTTGTAAAAATTGTTGAAAAACGCGAATTATAATAGCCTCCGACTGACGTAGCATGAGAAAACATATAAAAATCTACTTATATTTGAAAAAAACATTTAAATCTTTTTGGCATATCAATGCTCCCAAGCGTTGATGCATCTACCTGTATTATTCTGCCATGACCCTTACATCGTTAAAATTCTAATATCTATAATGTTTCTTTCAAAGTCAATTTCCTTAGAAATGTTCTCTCTATATATTTTTTTGCTTAATTTGCGAACATTTGGTTTATTGTTAATGGAAGCAAGTTTTTTTTTTAATTTTGACATTACATCTGGGTTATAAAATTTGCTGGAACACCTTGTTATTGCGTTATAAAACGCTTTTTTGACTGGCTTAAGTCATCGAAGAAAACTTTTCATGCATCTGCACCTTTACTTAGTTAAAATTCCAATATCTATAATGTTTCATTCGAAACACACATTTGGTTTATCGTTAATGGAAACAAGATTTTTTAAGATTTGTAAGTAAAATTCCACGTCGAGCAAATGAGTTCTTTAAATAGCCTCCATCCCAAAAAGTTTTGACTTTATTTCTCGTCTGACCTGTAATGAAAAAGTATATAAGATTATGAAAAATAATAAAATACAATAAGTTATATTAATATTTAAAAATTAATTTTCTATGACATGTAGATTCTAAGAAGACTGATTTTAAAACATATACGGGAATTTTTGAAATCAGGTCTCCGCTTGACTAAAATATGTATCTTATTCGATATCACCAATGGTATATATTGAAATGTTTCAAAATTTAGCTTGATATAAAAGCTAACCGGTTTATTTAATATTTAAAATTTCCAAAATTAATTTGTATTTTCAATCACACTTTATGTTCCTCAATTCTTAATATAAAATAAAATAAGATGTTATTTTGTTAAAGCAAAAAATTACCACAATTTGTGCAACATACATATATTTAACACCCTATTTGTCGTTTTAGCAATCGATTAATTAAATACCAAACCAACAATAATTTATTTTCATTTCTTCAAAGTATTTGAAGGCCTTTGCCATGGATGACATTAAACTCAGTATTTCACCTGGAAGTTTCATTTAGCCAAGCCAGTAATTTATTGCAAAACACATATTTCTGATAGTATTTCACAAAAAAAAAAGAACCTGTTCTTTTGATGTCGATCGTCATAGTCACCACATGCAATGCCAACAGCACAATTGGTTGTTCTGTTTTGCTCTGCCATAGAGAAGATGAGATATATTTTTAAATGTTGGCATTCACTTTTCAGGGTTTCATCAGTGTATCGTGGAAGTTAAATCACTTTTATGGCAAAAAAAAAATCTAAACTATTACTTGATTAATTGTGTGAATATTGCAATGACATTAAAAGAAATGTTAATTAAAAAAAAATATGGAATACTAATACACTGAGAGAAAAATAATTTTGAAATTAAAAAAGACTGAAATCTAGGAAGATTTCTTCTATGGGGGTTCCTTAATAGCACATCTACTAATTTTCGTAGAAAGCCTCGATCACTTTGAAGAATTTTTTTTTCTCAATAGGAGTTTTATGGGCCTTCTACTGCCTGTAGATGAAACATAGATCCTATATCTACTAAACAAATTGTTATCATATATTCCTTTAGTTTATATAATGTTTCTAACAAGTATTTTTAAGAGGCACAATTTCTTCCGATATTATATCGCTATATTGGCAAATTTAAGCTATAACTACAAGATGAGATAAAAAACGGCAACAAAGTCAAAAGCCATATTTTTTATTATTATTATTTTTTTTTAATTTTATTGAATGAAAGCAAAAATTGTCGGAAATAGCATAAAATTTTAGAATAAGATTAGATTTGTTCGAATGGATCACCTTTAGCACGTATTATGGCCTTCAAACGTCCAATGAAGCCGTCACACGCTGCCGGAATGTTGCTCTGCGGTATTTTGACCCGTTCCCGGCGAAACGCCCTGCTTGAGGTGATCGACACTTTGGTATTTTTTAGTGTCAACCTTCCTTTCCAAAATACTCCAGACACAATAGTCCAACGGATTGTTATCCGGAGTTTTGGTGGCCATTGTGCGCTGGAAATGATCATTTTATAACCATTCTTGGGTGACGCGTGCTGAGTCCTGTTGGAATGTCCAAGGTCTGCTGCCAAAATGTTTGCCTGACCAAGGCTTTGATACACCCTCCAGAATTATTTAGCGATAATATTCAGAGAGCGACCATCGCCAGTTATGGCGGCCGGCGCTTGAGTTCTGGTGGCCAATCGAAGGTGCACATTTTCAGCTGACCTTTTGGCAAGTAAACACGATCATTTTGTTTGTTTACAAACTGGCGGACATCGAATGCTTTCTCATCGGAGAAAACAAAATTCGGCTGTTCACCACTTTCGTCTATTGTCTTTCTGTTGCGGTGTAAGTTCTTGCACTTTTTGGAATAGCAATGGCTTTACACCGAGCTTATTTCTCAATATATGCCGAATTGAGTATTGCGATATGTTTAGCTCACTAGCCAATTTTCGGCCACTCCGACGCGGGTTTTAAAAAAGTCGCTTCTTTACTATTCGTACCATTTTTGCTGATGTTGCTGTTTTTTCCGTACACTTCCTTGACGTTGGGCTACGCTACCAGTATCCCGGTAACGGCAACAAGCGATGGTACGAGACACAAAAGATTTATTCACATTTAAATGCTGGAGTGCTCTAACGATAGGCACTTGTAGTTTTTCAGACAAAAGAAAGAAATCACACTATCACACTCGAATTCCACCACGAATACCCTGTATTACAGTGGATCTGTTACGGTTTTTTTCGTTAATGGAAAAAGTATTCATCATATAGCATCAAACCTTCTTGTTATCCCTAATTCTGTTCATCCTAATCTGCACATCACAAAATACACTTACAAACATTAACCTAAACCACTTTCCTTTTTTCCTCTTGTATTTTCCAGTTCGTCTTGACCGCTCTCGTGGCTTTCGCCTATGCCGATAACATCAACAAAGATGCCGAAGTTTTGAGCTTCAAAAATGATCCTGCCGATGCTGAGGGAAACTATGCCTATGCTTTCGAGACCAGCAATGGTATTCAGCAACAAGAAGCCGGTAATCCCGCTGGTGTAGCTGGTTCCTATGAGTTTGTATCGCCCGAAGGTGAAAAATTCTTTGTTAGCTATACTGCCGATGAAAATGGTTTCCAACCCGTTGGTGATCATTTGCCCACACCACCACCAGTGCCAGAGGCCATTCTCAAGGCTTTGGAATACATTGCTGCCCATCCTCCAGCCGATGAAACACACAGAAAGTAAATTTAAGTATTAATTTCCAAGAAAAAGAAAACACACAAAAAAAAAGGAAAAACCGAAAGGACGTTAGAAACAGGATGGAGCAGCGGCGTATTGGAGTAGTGAAAATGGTTGGAGTTAAGAAACTAGTCAACAAAAAAACTCTACCCATTGTTTTTTAATTTGCCGCTCTGTTCCACGCAATTTACATCATTCGGCCGTCCATGACCAAAATAAGTTCATCTGAATTTTGGGGTTTACAAAGTGCAGGAAACTTGTTTTCTTCTTCACTTCTTTTTTTTATAAATAATTTATAGTATTAGCTTGTTTTTATTGTATTATGTTTTAGGTTAAATGCGTTGAACATTTTTTTGTACGAAATGAAATGAAAAAAAAAAATCATGCACAAATAAATGTATAAAAAATATACAAACTACGGTCGTTCCAAATATCTTTTGGGGAATTTTTCGGAGTTGATTATAAATAAATCATCGACTTACTGGATTTATTTAGTATATTTCGGCCCAGGTCAGATGTGGAATTCGTTAGCACATTAATTACAAAGTCATGGCCAATCGATGAGTGGTAGGAATGATACAGCCCAGCTAATATTTTTCCGAGGGCTCTGATGTCCGATTTTTTGTTGAGATTTTCTACCGTTTCTCCAGAAAAGTTTCCGAGTAATCGCACATACTCCTTTCTTTTGTTTCGATTGAAAAACCATTGAAAATCCACAAAACGAGCAGTTTACCCCCTGGAAGAATATTGTCTACATAGGTGTACGATATATTACATCACCCATACAGGGTAAAATAAAAAAACAGCAAAAAAGTCAAACGCAATAATTTTTACATTTTTCAAAATTTTATTGAATGACAGCAAAAAAATGTCGGAAATAGCATCAAATTTTAAAAAAAAAATTAAAATTTAAAAAATTTATTTATTGAAATTTTAGAATAAGTTTAGATTTGTTCGAATTGGTCACCTTTGGCACGAATTATGGCCTTCAAACGGTCAATGAAACTGTAACACGCTGCCCGAATGTTGCTCTGCGGTATTTGGGCCCATTCCCGCCGAACCGCTTGCTTGAGGTGATCGACACTTTGGTATTTTTAGTGCCAACCTTGCTCTCCAAAATACTCCAGACGCAATAAGTCCAACGAATTGGTGTTCGAGAATTTTTGCGGCCATTGTGAGTGGGAAATAAAGCGAGGAACCTTATTTTGTAACCATTCTTGGATGGCGCGTGCTGAGTGCGATGGTGCTGAGTCCTGTTGGAATGCCCAAGGTCTGCGGCAAAATGTTTGCGTGCCCAAGGGTTTAATACACCCTCCAGAATATTTTCGCGATAATAATCGGCATTTATTCTGAGTCGATTGATACGAGCGGAGAGCGACCATCGGCTGTTATGGTGGCCCACACCATCACCATGGCCGGCGCTTAAGTTCTGGTGGCCAACCGAAGGTGCACATTTTAAGCTGACCTCTTTGGCAAGTAAACACGATCATTTTGTTTGTTTCGGAGAAAACAAAATTCGGCAGTTCACCACTTTCGGCCAAGCGAAGAAACCCTTCAGCTCTTTTAAGTCTATTTTGTTTCTGTTGCCGGTGTAAGTTCTTGCCCTTTTTGGAATTTCAATGGCTTTACGCCGAGCACATTTTGCAATATTTGCCGAATTGAATATTGCGATATGTTCAGCTCACAAACCATTTTCGGCCACTGCGACCCACTGCAGGCTTCGATCAAGTCGCTTCTTTACTTTTCGAACCATTTCTGCTGATGTTGCTGTTTTCTTCCGTCCACTTCCTTGACGTCAGGCTACGCTACCAGTATCCCGGTAACGGTAACAAGCGATGGTACGAGACACAAAAGATTCATTCACATTTAAATGCTGGAGTGCTCTAACGATAGCCACTTGTGGTTTTCCAGCCAAATATAAAGAAATCACACCATCACGCTTGAATTCCATCACGAATAACTTTTTCGTGGAAAATTCTGACCAAAATGCTTTTGTACGCTTGTAAACAATATAATGAGCTGTCACTGGAATAATTTTAACAGTTGTCGGACTAGTGGCTTAGAAATGACAGCAGTCTGAAGTTGGTTGCAGTTTTTTCATCTCACCTTGTATATGGGAGCTATAGCTATATCTGAACCGATTTTCTCCAAATTTGATTTATTTGCTTCTAGACTGAATTCGGTTGGATGTGCCAATTTTCAGGTCATTTGGACTGATATTGGCCATTTGGTGCACAATTACCCCAAAATAGGTTGAAGATATGTATGGGAGCTATATCTAAATTTGAACCGATTCTCATCAATTTTAATAGGGTTCGTCCTTGGGCCAAACAAATATTTGTTGGAAAATTTCATCTTAATCGGATAATAAATGTGACCTGCACTTTGTTCACAAAAATACATGGACAGTCAGCCCATCTGACATACATAAATCGACTCAGAAAGTGGTTCTATGAAGATCCAGAGAAGTAACTATGGGTCTATCTAGCTTTCTTCTCCATGTTACTATGTGGTGCAGGGTGTAAAAACTAAATATATATTCAAGAGGCTTCATATATACAGTAAAAATAATTCTGTACCCATTCTAATTTTTTAAACAGGAGTGGTGCGGAAGTTCTCCCACACAAAACAGAGGATTGAAAAGTAAACTCCGTAAAAAAACACCTACTCGCGAGCAAGTTTCGCTCCCGAAAGAAAATGAGGGATTCTGTGCTCTGGTCAAAACACACCAAAGTATGTAAAGAAGATCAACACCATTCGGATCGTACTATTAAATGGCAATTCACTCATTTAAATTTCCGTAATTTGCGATTTTTACGGATAGTCCTTAAGTCCTACCAATGCAACCGTGCCGGCAACATTAATTTAGACTTTTCATTCATAATTTTGCGTTTTTATTTTACCGATATTTGTCGATAACTCAGAAAATTTGTTAGAGAATTCCACTACTGATCGGATACAAATTTATTTAAGCTAGAGCACGTGGTGATATTTTCGACCCCCTCTTTTTTTCAAACTAACCAACTATGTTATAAGGTCATAGGCTAGGTATCTATCAACGAAACATGCCGACAATTTAATACGTATTCCAATCGTTTCATTAAAAATAGTTCAAAGCAATACAACCGGTTCATTTCGCATACGATTATCTCAGACAATAGTCGCAATTCTTCGTTGATAAAATGTGACAAATGCGGCCAATTAAAATGTTAAATAAAACGTTATTCGTGATCCACGTAGACCATATTGTAGGCATATTTTTATATTATACATTAAAATTTTTATATTCTTTAAAGACAATTCTATGTGTAGAGATTCTGTGATAAATGAACTTTTAAGTTAACATTTTTAAACAGAACTTGATAGGTTATATATTATAACAGGCGAACGAATAATGTTGCTTGCTCTTAGAATTACGTACACGAATCAGCCCATTTACACGACACTATTAGTCATTCAAGGTTGTTACATGGTTTATGACTTCTTAACTTTTGTTGGGTGTTTTTGGGGAAATTTGTACATGTAACATTCATGGTAGAATTTAGAATTTAGTAGTCTCATATCAAAAAAGCATATCCAGGGGCTGGATTCTTGTTCTATGAAAATATGAAATGAAAAATATTTCCTTTATAAAATTTTTCATTTGACATTTCTTTCCTTTATAAAAGTTTTCATTTCACATTTTCATAGAACAAGAATTGAGGCCCAGATCTGGTTTTTAAATATTATTATTACAGATAAGGTGTGTTTAAGACTTCTATTCGGTTCTGTGAAATAGGTTAAATGTTTGCTGTAATATTTTTCTAATCTGCAGGTCCAGTCAGCGAAAAATATACCTTAAACCAGTAAGGAAAGTCTTAAAGTCGGGCGGGGCCGACTTTATGATTCCCTACACCACTTTGCTAATTTAGAGGAGCTCCGCATAACAATTAAAAGTTTTTATGGGAGAATTCAATCATACGCGCTAGGATTATAATTATAATTTAAAGTTATGCTGAAGTATTTGTATGTTTTAAATTCGGACTTGTATTGCCCATTTGGTGACAAATAATTTAAAATCGGATAAAAATGTATTAGGGCTATATCCAAATCTGAACCGATCTCGATAAAATTTGGCAAAGTTATTTCTGAGCTGTATTTTATATATTTCACTGAATATCATTGTTACGGAGTGCATATTACGGTTGTGGGTAACAAATACAACAAATTGGATGACCAATATATATGGAAGCTATAGCTATATCTGAACCGATCTTCACCAAATTTGACATACTAGCTTCTAGGCTCAATTCGGTCGTAAGTACCAAATTCCAGTCATTTCTGGGCTGTATCTTTTATCTGGTACCAAATATCATTCTTGTGGAGTGCATAGTAGGAATGTGAGGGACTTAAAGATCAAATCGGATGAAAGATATATATGGGAGCTATAGCTATATCTGAACCGATTTTGATATACCAAATTTGATATACTTGCTTCTAGGCCGAACTCGGTTGGGTGTGCCAAAATTCAGGTAATTTGAACTGATAGTGGACATTTGGTGCACATTTAACCCGAAATCGGATGAAGATATATATGGGAGCTATATCTAAATTTGATCCGATTCTCACCAATTTCAATAGGGTTCGTCCTTGGGCCAAAAAAGTATTGTTTAGAAAATTTCATCTCAATCGGATAATAAATGCGACCTGTACTTTGTTTACAAAAATACATGGACAGACGGACAGACGGACGGACGGACCGACATGCATAAATCGACTCAGAATGTGATTCTATGCAGATCATCAAAAGGAACTATGGGTCTATCTCGTTTCCTTTTGCCTGTTACAAACAAATTCACAAAGACATAATACCCTGACCACCTTGTGGTGTAGGGTATAAAAATACCAAAGTGTCGATCGCCTCAAGCAAGCGCTTCGCCGGGAATTGGGCAAAATATCACAGAGCAATATTAGGGCCGCGTGTGGCGGTTTCATTGGCTGTTTGAAGGCCATAATTCGTGCCAAAGGTGACCGATTCGAACAAATCTAAACTTATTCTAAAATTTGATGCTATTTCCGACATTTCGTGCTTTCATTCAATAAAATTTGAAAAAGAAAATGTACAAATTATGACGTTTGATTTTGTTACAGTTTTTTATCTCACCCTTTATATGGAAGTTGTATCCAAATCTGGACTTACGTGTTTACAACGTATAAAACCTTTTGAAATTTTTCCACATTTTCATTACCAAAGAGATCCCATTTTGTTATTGTTCAAAAAAAAATGGTAATAATTTATACAAAATACAGGAAATAACTAAATTCTCGCTAATTGGCAAGTTTTTTTTTATTAATAAAGTTATGAAAATATTAATAAATTAATTCTAATATAAATCAGAGCGTGCTGGCAAATGCGCAGCATGC